GTGCTCGAATCAGTCTACGTATGGTCTGTGCCAGATTTATTGATGAGTCAGAGAATCCAGACAAGGTACAGCAACTTCATCGTCATGAGTTACAAGAGTGCAACTGCTACTGCGAAACTGCACGGATGCATGAAAAAGTTCAAAATCGAAAATGACGTCGAATAAGCAGATGCATTATCACCCAAGGTATTCACGGCTGCGAACGCTTAAACGAAGTTTTCAAGACACTCCGGCAAGAAACTCAGGGTCTGAACGTAAATGTTCTCTACTTAAACCATCTGTGATTTACAAGCCACATTTTGATCTTGTCAAGATAACAGAAGTTCAAAAGCTGAACTGCCAGCATCAACGCAGGACCAAACATTGACCTGAAGAATGCTCGGATCATGTTTAAAACATACGTGCCCCCGTCCCCTGCCTACATACCACAGACTTAGGCTTGAAGAAGAGCAAACAAACGTCTGCCTGGGACAATTCATTTCTGCCAAAAAAAATCGAAGTAGCACAGGGCACATTTGAAAGATTAAAAATTTGCCTATCCAGGAAGGTGCCTTTGTTTGAAATGGAGAGGTTTGAACCAGTGTCTGCTCCCAGTGCTATGAGTGCGAAACTGGGACCGTGAGTCTTAAAGTTATTTACGAACTGCAGATTATGCAATACAGTATGGAAAGATGAGTGCTGGAAATAACCAGAAAAAGCGTAAAGACAAATGAATGAGTAAGAGCACAAACAAGAGTCTGTGATGTCATAAACTGAGTAAAAAAGCTGGACACATTGCAAGTAGAACCGATATTGGACAGGGTTCCACGACGGACTAAACAGCCCGTATGAATACCTCCAGGTCACTGGCAGAATGAGCTGTAGAAATTCGCTGGATCAAAATGGGTGAAAATCACAGAAGTTTATGGCAAAGTGTTGGAGAAGTGTTCAGCCAGCAGTGGACTGACAAAAACCGATGATGATTATGATACAGCCGACTCTGTAAAGCCGGTTCCTCAGAGTTCAGCAAGGAAAGTTCAACGAACCTGGCGACACTACTTATTTCTGCACCACTTGGCTCATTTTTCATGGCGAAGACGATGAACAGAGATCTAATATAGTCAAACCACGTTTATCTGTGATCATCAAGATGCCTGCATAACAGCAATCAAAATGAATCCTCGTATTGTCAAAAGCTGTCAGGAGAAGTTTTAATTACCGTAAAATTATGGAAATGAAAAATTTTGTGTGAGTCTCCATAAGCAAACAAAAATTTGCTGCACGATGAACTCGCTTAGCAAATCTGTTACACAAATTTTGGCTGTCGTTTCTATTCGTATCTGATCGTTCATGTTCGACATTGATAGCGCAGTAGTATTCTCATTGTAATTACGAATTCGTCCTCTACCATTGGCTGTCCACCAGTGAAGGGGCGTTCAGTTCAGCGATATATTCATTAAGAGTATTTCCCTTGCTCCCTTTATGACCAAAAGTTTCATGGAACAACGCCATGTCGAAATCACATCACTTCCACTCGTGTCTTGAAAACCATGCGTACGCCGTCCTGTTCCTTCTTGCAATCTGATCAGAATTTCATTATTACTTGCACCCACTGTAGCACCAATAATACGGTGGCAAATTAGTTATGACAATTACCGGCTACCAATCAAATTATACCACGTTTTGCTGAGGAGCGGCTTCTGACAAAGCACAGTTGGTCACCTTTCTGATAATTCATATCATCCGATTGACCATATTGTTGCGTCGTGTACAAATAAACCATGCTTGGTACCGTTATTAGGATGAGAACAAGGGCACCAGTGAAACACTCAATCATCAGAAGGGTCACGAAGTCAGTTGAAGTGTAACAGACTGTCTTTTGAAGTTTGCTACATATGACGTTTGTAAAATTGCTTACTAATGGTTAGCAGTGCTCTCTTCGTCCGTTCAGCTCTTCGACGGTGGCTGGGCATCTTGTCTCAGCTGGTTTGATGACGGCGATAACCGGAGTAAAGCCATTGTTTCTTCGGAGCTGCTAGACAGCATTAAAGGTGGCTAGAGCATTGACTCACTCCTTCAGCAAGATATTTAAAAACCTGCAAAAGACGGATTTAGCCTCATTGCCGAATGAACTATTTAAATGGTTTGGTTTCTCCATTTTGCCTATCATTCGATCTTCAATTTTTTCTGCCAAAATTTTCAAGGATCTGCCATAACGGATTACAGAGCTTCACTGAGGTTCGTGCACAACAGCAGAACGACAACAGCAAGAGTTGCACAAGATATGCAGCTAACAGATGATTCACGATAACACCCAGCCTTATGAGACCGTCGGTTCAGATGCCATAATAGCATCTGTCGCCCATTCTATAATAATTACACTATAATCATAATAATATACTCATGATGTCACACGCCAGCGACTTACTACCCGTTTCTTGCTGATTGCACTGAACAACATGGACTGACTTATCGAACCTGGTAGTAGTAAAAAATAAACCAACCGACCTCGTCGTTCGCTAGATATCTCATCACATGCCTATGTTTTTGATCCTGGTCTGATGCTTACTGCTACAATTGCAAAGTTGCGGAAACCTTTACTCTCTACCTTTGAGGGTCTATAAAAAATGAATACATATTCTTTGAGATACCTTCCAGTTAACCCATATGATGCGTTTTCTAAATCAACTCTTAGTGATGAGTTTGTAAACGATAAATGAGTTGAGGAACTTTCCTAGATGTCTTAGTCTAGCAGTTAGCAGGCCATGACTCGAAGATAATTCGGCTGCGGCAAGAAAAAAGACGAACGTTCGTGATGGTGAATCTCTCATTCCATGCCCTTTTTATAGTCAAACCATTATCCACCTATGGCTAGTTCAAGAGGGTGCATGCAAGCTGCTTAATTGTTGGATAGGAGGTAAAACAGTCGAGGACCTCTCAAGTACCCAAAGCTGCTGCTGCACGAAACGGCCTTCAAGTCTTCAACAAAGATGAAAAATTCTTAGTGGATATAACCGAAAAGTTGAAGGATGGCTGATTATCGATCAAATTACCATCTTTCGTCATTGAGGCTGTTTTCATTCGATGTGGGAGACCGGACAAAACACGACAGTGACTAAGGGATCTTCGTCTCCGTTTTGAGGCACGGCAAACCTCGGAGCCTCCGAATCCGAATCTATTCTCCCTTCAAGTCAGTCGAACGCCGAATAGAAATGCCATTTTTGCGCTGATCCTCATTTGACCGCCACCGATTCTACTCCGGAGGTTGCACAGCTTTCCGTACGAACTCCGCCACACCCCGGTCACATGTTCGACCACTGACACCGCTTGGCGGCCGCCGTCAAGGCGCCATGCCTCTTTCTTTCGCCTCGCCCTCTCGTTCGCAGCCGATTGTAAGCCTGATAAACTTGAGGCATCGCCGTGTTCTTTCTCGATGCCTGGGTATCGCAACGAGCTGTGACAATTTGAGTCGTTTGATCCGTGCTGCCGGCCCGGCAGGGGGCCCTTTGTGTGACTTCCACCTCTAATATATTTTCCATAAACCACCGTCCGACAGTTTTGTGAAATTCCGTGGAGCAACCGGCGAAAGAAGGCGAAGGATTCAATTG